CACTATACATTCAATCTTTTAAGCAGTGGGACTGAGAGAGCAGAGGTGCCCTTACTCTGCCCAGTCTTCCCTTTCTCTTTTTTATTATGTTATGTTAATGTTGCAGTCTTTGCTTAGAGGTGCAAGACCTTTGTGCTACATCAGCAAGCAACTAAAAAGAGAATGTTCCCTTTTCTAAACATTCTTCCAGCTACTCCACCATCAGGAAGGTCTTAACTGATTTTCTTTCTCCACAGGTTCCAGCCTCCTGACATCGGACGCAGCTCTACCCTCCTTATCATCAGTTCTTCTTAACAGATTCTCCCCACTGGTTTCCCTCACCGGAAATGGAACACACAGCAGGCCCATCCACCTAAAAGAGGTGTCCAGTTAGGCCATTTTGCCGACCTGAAGAATTTCTTTTTGTTTTGTTTTTTTAATAAGTGGAGAGAGTTTATATGCAAGTCTAGGTGTGTTTGTTTTTTGGGTTTTTTGTTTTTTTGGTTTTTTTTAGCTCCTGAAATATGGCCATGTTTTTGTTAAATAAAATATCTGGTATCAGCCAAGAGACTGATTGACATATAAGCCATCATGATCAAAAATAATATGACCAAAAAAAAGAAAAAAAAACCCCACAAAACACCTTAAATCCACTTTCGTCACTGGCATTTGGTTTATTATCAACATTACAAAATTTGGTAAAAGCCAGGAGAATTATTAGACATTAGGGACAAGTCTTTAAATCTCTCCCTAAATCTTGCTCCAGGCTATACATCAAAAGAGATAAAGTAAATCAGCAACAAAAACAACAACAAAAAACGCTTTAGTTGCTATTTAGAAAGCAAATGATCAGTTTCTGTGTCAAAAAGCAAGCCCAAAGAGAGAACCTGCATTGTTGAGATTTATTGTTAATGGACTGGCAAGAAGGGATAGCTATAAACTCCTCTTGGCATCAAAAGTCTAGGCTTAGAGCCAGTCGATTCTTAAGGTTTATTTGAAACAACACACATCTTGACAGCCAGCAGAGTGGACGGTTTAAATACCATCCTCTTCACACAGATATTTGAATTGTGTAAGGGTGTGAGGGTGTGTGTGTGTGTGTGTGTGTGTGGCGGGAAGGGGTAGGAGAAGCTGACAAATTTAGTTAAGGAAGTAAAAATCCCCTTCCCTAAAGCTTGTGTCTGAATCATGAAACCTCTCCAATCGTCCATCCCCTGATTGGTACTTATTAAGAGCCAGGATATCCTTAAGCAAATATAGTCATAATTCTGATATGTTGGTAACAAAAAATATCAGAGAAATCCTCCTAGTCTTTTCAAGAACTGATATAAGAGAGCAGTATTCTATTTAACCCATAGACTACGAAAGTAACAGTATTGAGTTACTTGCATATAAACATCAAACTTGCAAATGAATCCATGTAAATTAAAGCACTAAAGAACGACCCGCCCTCTGTCTCTGTCCTGCATAGAAGCACTATTCACTCAATCTGAATATCTGAGGACAATCAGACCCAGAGTGTTACATCCTCTTCAGAAGATGCAGAGAAGTTTACTTCCTCATGGATATATAGAAGAGTTCAGAAGTGGTGATTATTCCCAAAATTTCATCTGTCTTATCTCTTGAAACAGAAGCTCTCAGCCTCTATACGGAGCTCAATTTCCCAATTCTGTCCCCCTGATAATTCAGGAGTGAGGAACTGGCCATTGGTGCACAGGAATAGGGAAGATGCGTTCTTACCAGAACTCAGATGACATTTTTACTTATGGGAAAAAAAAAAAAAGTTAAAAGTAATATTATTATTACTACAAATCAAATGGCTCTTGATCACTACCTCAGAATCCAACAACTTATGATAGTCTATCTGTATAAAAAAAAAAACAATTTGAGAGTAAACTTTAAAAGTTAAATCTTACCCACGTTGCATTATATTGCAACTTAAAAAGCATTTATTATATTTAAAAATATCTTCTCGGGGCGGCTGGCTGGCTCAGTTGGTTAAGCGACTGCCTTCGGCTCAGGTCATGATCCTGGAGTCCCGGGATCGAGTCCCACATCGGGCTCCCTGCTCGGCGGGGAGTCTGCTTCTCCCTCTGACCCTCACCCCTCTCATGTGCTCTCTCTCATTCTCGCTCTCTCAAATAAATAAAATCTTTAAAAAAAAAAAAATCTTCTCATGCAAACGTTCAGAGAATCCCAATAACCCAATGTGTTTGGCAGAGAATACACTATTATATTCATATTTCAAATGGCGTCCTTCCTACAGAAAGTTTAAATGACTAGCCCAAGCTCATCTCATAAATAGGAACCCTTCCCTTTAATGAGCTAGTGAGATACACCTGCCCCCACATTCCCAACTCCTTTTGTAAGTGTCCAAATTCCCATTATTCTTCATATTTCCAGCCCAAATACTTCTGTTTTCATGAAGATAGTTATGATGTCCATGCACCCCCCCACCAGTGATAGTAATAAGTTCTTCCTTTGACCTCATAGCACTTTATCTCTGTTCCTACCATAAGTTAATAGACTTGGAATCAGAAGATTTGGTTTGAATTCTGCTTGATTATTTACAATCAGGATGATCCTAACAAGTAACCATAGTAACTACCTGAACACTAGTTTTCTCATTGTTAGTCAACAGAATATATGCCCATAGAATTATTTGGAAATTCAATTTTGATAAAACAAGAAAGAAAGAACTGTGTCAACTGTAAAGCCTTATACAAAGTTACTTCTCATATATATACTTCTTTCTTTCTCATGTATAACTTTTCTTTCCCCTATTTTATTTCCTGGAAGAAAGACCACATCCAATGAATTCTTGATTCTGTCAGAGCATTCATGGATGCTTCAAAACAGCCATTTGATACAAAGTTGCAGAATGAATGAATGGTTGAATGTACCACTACATTAATCAAGGTAAGTTTCATAAAGCACAACATTCACCGCAACCTGCTAAATGTGGAAGGCCAAAATCTGACTTCGACTTCTCTCCAATCTCACTGCCTATTTTTTCCCCCATCGCTTCAGCCAACCTAGATTTACCTCTGATTCCTTAAATACACCCTATGTTTTTCTGGCTCTAGGTTTTGGGCCAAATCATCACCCCCTTTCGTGCCCTTCATCCTTTCAAACAGTATCCAACCTTAGCTCAAAATGGCTCACATGCCATTTTCTCCATGAAACTTTTCTTAATCTCACCCACTGGAAAGGACAGTTCTTATTCTGAAGTCCAGAGTATTTGTCCATCTCTCTCAGAACTCTTATCATTTGACCACACGTTATGTTCCCTTTGCATGTATTATCTCACCTAATACACTTTGATCTTGTGAAGAACAGCATTATGTTTTAGTTATCTTTATATCCTTCCAAACATGTATTAAAATGTCTTCCATATAAATAGGTATTCTAACAAAATATGTGGCTTCAAAGTCCAACTGCATGCCTCTGCTTTATAAATTGCCAAAAAAATGACATTTTATGAAATGATCATCTATTGTTTGAGGTCGTCATTACCATCCATTCCTATCAACATCATATAGTACGAGCAGAAACATACCTTTGCCAAAATTTAAAAAGCTACAACTATATAAACAAACCACTTATAATCCAATTTCCGCAATAATTTGAATGCAGCATATTCTTATTAATTGCAATATTATATTAAAGATGGCTTATCTGAAAAGCTAAGGTACTTAATAGGACTTTTGGATAAGAAGAGTAAATGATACTTCAGAAAACAACCAGAAGTTAACACATTTTTAATTTACATCATTTTAATCTCTCATCACAGTAAGTATCCAAACTAACACAACAGCTACCAATAATCATCATTGCTGTTATTATCATAAAATAGATTTCATTTATAACAAGGGTACACAAGTCTCCTCTCTCAGGGATCTTTAAATCACATAATTCTTCATTGCCTGCTGTCAGTTCCTTCCTGGGCTGTTCGCAGACAAAATGCACACATAGCCCACTAACAGCTGTCCTCCAGACAAAGTGATTTCTGTGCCTTCTCACCAGGTAGGAGCCACCAGATTTCTTTTAAAAATGTATTCTTCTAGTTTCTCTATTCTCACTTATATTATTATCTCATCTTCACTATGTTACTTCTTAACTCCAGAGAATTTCTGAGCTTTTTTGCTGTTTTGGGCTTTTTACCCCTTCTCCCTGAATGTCCCCAAATCTCTACCTACTAAAATCTTTTTTTTTTTTTTTTATTCAGTGCCTTTAAGTGCTGGGTTAACATTAACTGACTTCTTGAGAATTACTTTTCTATCCTCACAGTAAACAATGTTGAGCTCATTTGTGTCACTACTGGCCTAGGTCAGGAAGGCTTACCAAAAGCCTTGAAGATATAAACTGTGGTCTTCTGAGAAGACACCCATCAATGGTGAACCTGTTCTCATGACTTCTTCACTTCACAAACTGACGTATACTGTTATAAATGACTCTCAACTAATGAGCAAAGCATGCCTTCACAGCTATACCAAAATCACTGGCAGGGAAAGGGGATGTACAGTTTGGAAAATTTTTTTCAATTTTATATTAAAATTGTATTTATAATGCGAAAACAATGTCTGCTTTTTTCCCAGCACAGATATGACCCCAGTTAAGAGTACCTTAAGTTGGGTAGGCCGGAGTATGAATTTAAGAGTTAAACTAATATCACTGCATACTAAACAATAAATATCACTGTATACTACACAATAGTGTGGATCTTATGGGACAGAGTACAATGAGTCAATGCTCAGCATCTTTGAACTGATTCATTTTTACTTTATATGCCAAACTTATCAGAAAATCTGGCAATATTTTGGGCTTATTCTTGGAGAAAATATTTAACTTTTTTTAAATTTACAATCAGCACAGAAGAAAAAGGGGAAGGAAGGAGGGGAGGAAGGAAAGGATGAGAGGAAAACAATGTCATTCTATGATACCAAGGATAAACTAAGCATGATTTGTGCAAGATGATGATATGGTTTAAGAGCATGAACACAATGAATAAATGCACTCACCTCGGTTAAATGAGGATTGGGATTAAAACCACAGAGGCTACATACAGTGGTTTGACACTCAGTGCATGTGTTAAAATTGGCCTTTTCTGGAACATGCAACAGAAGTTCAGTGGTATTGCAAAGAGGACAGATGGTTTTAGGGAGGCCTTGTACTGGAGTCTGTGCTGCAGATAGAGAAGTCGATGGATGCAGAGGTTTCCCAGCTCCTGTTTGGCTTACTGGTTTTGGAAATTGCTGAGCTGAAGGCTTTGCGGGGCCAGGCTGTTGAGGAGTGGGTTTTGCTGAACCAGGCTGCTGAGGTGAAGGCTTTGCAGAGCCAGGCTGTTGAGGAGGGGGCTTGGCCAGGCCAGGCTGTTGAGTTGGGGGCTTTGCAGGGCCAGGCTGCTGAGGAGGGGGTTTTGCTGGGCCAGGCTGCTGAGGAGGGGGTTTTGCTGGGCCAGGCTGCTGAGGAGGGGGTTTTGCTGGGCCAGGTGGTTGAGCTGGAGTTTTTCCTGGCCCAGGCTGCTGAGCCAGAGATTTCATTGGCCCAGCCTGCTGAGAAGGAGTTTTTGCAGGCCCAGGTGGCTGAACTGGGGGCTGTGGCCCAGGTTGGTGAGCTTGGGATTTTGCTGTCCCTGGCTGCTGGGTTGGGGGCTTTGCTGGCCCTGGCTGCTGAGATGGAAGTTTCTCTGACCCAGCCTGTTGAGCTTGAGGCTTCGCAGGCCCAAGAGGCTGAGCTGAAGACTTGGGCCCAGGCTGCTGAGCAGCAGGCTTTGTTGTCCCTGGTGGCTGGACTGGGGGCTTTGCTGTCCCTGGCTGTTGAGCTAAGGCCTTTGTTGGCCCTGGTTGCTGAGCTGAGGGCTTTGCAGGCCCAGGGTGTGGTGTGGCAACTTTTTCAGGTGCAGGTTGCTGGGCTGGAGGTTTTCCAGGACTTGCTTGCTGAATAGGTGGTTTGGTTGGGCTTTGCACTGAGGGTTTAACTGATTCTCCCCTTACAGTGTCGGACTGTTTAGTCTGAGGCCTGGCTGCATCTCTCTGAAGTGGCAACGGTGCCTGGTCTATCTGAGGTGCCTGGGTAAGCCCCTGAATTGGCTTGCCTGTCCCTGGAGGTTGTGATTTCATCTTTTCTGGTTGCTGAGAAGATCCTGATTTGGGAGAGCCATCCTGCTGTGGTGGGACCCTCACAGGTCCCTGCTGCTTTGGACCCGGCTTAGGTGACTGTTGTGATGGAGGCTTTGCGATTCCTTCAGGTTTGCCTTGTTCTTTCTGAGCTATTTTTTGTTTCTTGGCAGTTTCTTCCTGGGATGCATCAGAGTCTGATATCAAATCAAAAGGATTGAATTTATTTACAACAGAGGAGACAGCACTTAAAGGGTTAACCTCTGAGAGGAAGCCAGGCATCATACTAGACTTGTGCTCTTCCTTTAAGTCAGTTCTGGACTTTGATTCTTTCAAGCTAATAGTGGAAGGACTCCTTCCAGGCGACTTCTGCTCTGACTTCAAAGTGTCTGTAGTTCTACTTTTACTGAGACCAGGCTGAGCTGAACGCCCAGGGTCCGGCGGTTTTCCGGGTTGCTTTGGAGGATGACTACTCTCCAACTCTTGCTTCCTAGAAGAATGAAACGAAAAGAAGTAAAAATAATGGAAAGTATCCCAACTCAAAATAATATTAATGAGCCATTACTTTCTTAGAGCCTCAAAATTACGCATGTATAGATATAACTAGAACACATTTTTGCAGCATCCTGTAAATGATCATAAAATCTTTTAAGTCTTTGTTACTTTCTTTATGTGGATAGAGATTTTCAACAAGGTAAACAAGAGGGGTAAAAATCAATACTTGCTACTCTAAGATATCTAGTTAGACATTACTTATAATAGTTTACCTTTACACTTAATAGAATCTGGCCATCCTTAAAACCTTATTAAATATATCAACTCAATAAACCAATGCAGGGCCATGTTCTAGTATGTTCATGTTTGAAGAATGTTATTCTTCCAAATACTAGCAGCACCAAGAATTAAGAATATTCATTTTAAAATGTGGGAGCTTGTTGCAACTGTTTTTGTTTTACTTGATAACAAGAAGTTACATTAATAACATATGGCACACGACGACATCAGGGAACTTTTTAGTAAAAGAGGTTACGTGATGCATTTCCAGGGACCCTGAGAAAGTTGATAATCTATACAACTTTATTCTGTTGGAAAAGATATTATCCCTCAAATATTATCCTTATTAAACTTTATAAAATGAGAAGTCCTGCTTCAATTAGAAATTTTTGAGAAACAATTCCCTATTTCTTGTAGAAGAAAAATGTTATGTCATTTAATTATTTTTCCAATAACTAATTATTAATCTGAGATCTCTATGCAAAATAATGATAGATGCTTAAAGAAGCTTGAGATACAGCGGGTATACAGTTAGCAACAAGCTGGTTATGAACCCACTTTTGAAAGTACTGTTACTTTTCTCAGAAAAAGATATGTAATAATCTCTTAATGTTTTCTATAACATTTACTATAGCCACTGTTAGATTATTAGTAATATTATTTATTATTGACAAAGATTTAAGAACATAACTAATTTACAAATTTTCTTTTAATTCATAGACAAATACACACAATGGATTTTTTTAAATAGTTTTGGAAACATGATCACTTTGAAATAACTATGGTTAAATAATTAAAATAGTTGATTTTGTATACTTTTAACCAAAAATCAAATACATTACCTTTTTTAAATAAGCCATTCTTTACTGATAAAGTTGTAACTAATAAGAATAGGCTCTATTAGGATTACATAACAATAAAATTATGAGTATTTCATTTGATACACGAAGCTTTTTAACTTTGGAAAAAGACATTTCTTTTTCATTAAAAGAAAAAAGAAAAAGAAACAGAGTTATTCAGTAGCACTTAAAATATGAGATGATCACAATAAAGTTCTACAAGTTTTAATTTGTATTGTGAAAATTTACCTGCTAATGGGCCAGATTATAAACTTTTAATTTCAAATTATTTAGTACTTAATATGAAGTTTTTGAAATTCCCCAAATGGCACAGAAACTTGAGACAGATCAAGTTATAAGGTACTGTAGAAAGAAATACAGAAGTATTACTTCTAAATAGCAAAAAATAAGAAGGAAATAATCTATAAAAGCCACCATATGCAAAAAGTGATTTTCTAATAAAAGTTGAATAAATAGAATTCTTAGTTTTGGCAATTTCCTCCAGGGAAAAAAGTTACAAAAACTTTAGATAACTTAAGCAAGGAACTAAAATTATTACCCTAATTAATTACAACGGTTCTAAGGTATCTTTTAAAATACTATGTATTTCCATTTGGAGAAAATAATTTTGAATGTTTCTTTACAGGCCACTCTGTGTTCCCTTACACAGGAAGGTAGAAGAGCTATAGTAAACAACCTAAAACAGATTATTTTCAAAAATTTCACTGTTTAGATCTTCACATTATTCTAGAAATGTTCTACATTCAATTAATAAAATCTACCACTCACATGAAGGGCATATGCTTAGGAACTTCATTACAGAAATTCCTACCTCATAAGTAATTATTTAGGTATATTATTGAATTGGCTCCCTAGTAGAGTCCTAGAGACCTATATTTAAAGAGCACAAAAAAAAGAAATCTATTCTTAATTTACTAAATTGTCCTCTCTTGAAAATACTATTAAACTTAATCATTGTTTTGTGTTGTTGCACGTCATCCAACATATGTACAAAACAAAAAAATAAACTTTGTGAATACCAAATATTTGTGATATCAACACTAAAATTTAAAGCAAGCTGCTTACAGCAGAAATCATTGCATGTACCTCCGAAAATATAAGTTATACAAGAAAATCCCCATGAGAAAACTGATACAGCTATAAAGAATGCCCCACAATTTAAACTAACTTCAGCTACTCGAATTATATAAGTAAACATCAAATATGGATGTGAGAAATAGAAAATCACTAAAAGAATATACAGACTTAATACTGAACAAAAATATAAAGATGTCTCAGGTAATTGTGGTCTTCTGGTGAATTTTTGTTTGGTATAACAGTTGCTCTGTCAAAAAGAAAAACAACTAAAATGCAATCTGTGTCTTGTACACTATACGGTGACCTCCTAGAGAAAGTGTTTCACTCATCTTTGCATCACTAGAACCAAACCTGTTAACTAGAGCGTTAGTGTCTCATGAATGAATGAATGAATGAATGAATGAACGAACGAATGAATAGGTGGATGACAATGAATAAAGGAATCAATGAATGAATCAGGTTTTTGTTTTATGCTAGATTATGTTTCTTGAATTCTTTTCAAATTCTTCACGGTCGTTCTGAGGTATAAATGGAAACATTCCACATGCATTTAGAACCTGGACTTGGCCTGCTACTCTAGGAAGAAAAACGGTTGTGGAATTGTCTACCATTAGGATAGGCCCAAAGGAATACTAAAGAAAATAATGGATTTAGTCAGAATTCCTATAAAATATTCTACCAACCAGAAGCATTTTTCAGTAAAGCCCTTCTCACATCTGTAGCTGTGCACAGAATGAGCAGACCAAGTGATAAAATTGCCTTTTTCTGGGTCTTCAATTAATCCAAAATCCAGAAGCATTTTGGTTGTAACCTGTAACTTCTAGCTTGTAACAACCCATGTTTTGTACAACCTCCTTTTTCATTACTACTGTCATCCCCAGATTAGAATTTTGCTTTCATAGATTAGCAGAAAAAAATATCTCAGGGGCACCTGGGTGGCTCAGTTGGTTAAGCGACTGCCTTCGGCTCAGGTCATGATCCTGGAGTCCCGGGATCGAGTCCCGCGTCGGGCTCCCTGCTCAGCAGGGAGTCTGCTTCTCCCTCTGAGCCTCTTCCCTCTCGTGCTCTCTATCTCTCATTCTCTCTCTCTCAAATGAATAAATAAAATCTTTAAAAAAATAAAATAAAATAAAGAAAAAATATTTCAGCTACAAATGAGGTAAACATAAATTCACGGATACAAATGTAAAAGCAGTTGGAATGCTAAAAAAATTTTTTTTAATGGAGCACAACAGGCAATGACACTTGACAGTGCTGAGTCACATAAAATTTTTTGATATTAGAAATATAAGCAACTTTGGGGATAGCTATTCATTTTTATACTGTAGAGGATACTAGGGCTTAAAGAGGCTAAGTGATTAATCCAAGGTTATAAAACTAGTTAGTCACCGATATCTGGTATCCAGACTTCTGGTGGGGGTGGGGAGGGAAGTGGAAGTTCCACTACATGGCACTGACTTTTCCATATATATAAAAAATATATATACAGATACATCAAAATAACTTACAACAGTGAAGAACTCAACATACAATTTGTCTGGAGCCACCACTGCCAGTGCCATCCACTGCTGATATTGAGATCACTACTATAGAGTCCCTTCAAGTTAAAATTCAAGCAAAAACATCCCTGTCAATTTGTAACTGATCCTCACAATGACTCTACAAGATAAGTAAGACAAGTGTCATATGCCTTATTTGGGGGCAAGGAAACTGAGGCAGCTAGGCTGAGAAGCATACATAATCTGTCATGAGTCTGTTAAAATTAATAGGACAAGAACCTAGGTCGCTGGGCTCTCAACCCTTATTCAAAAACAAACAAAACAAAACCACCATCTCTAACTGACACACTTAACCTCTTCAGACTTTAAATAATTTGGATATACTTTCTTATACATACTTAAGTTGGTGTGCTTCTAAAAATCTAAATGATAAACCAAGTGTTTCTTTGGTTATCACAACCAAGGATAATAACGTTCTAAAAATTATGTACATTCTATAAAAATCTTCCACTAAAATATAAGAAGGTCTCAAAAATCAGAAATATATTGTTTATACAGGTAGATGAAGCTTTCACCAAAAACTGCTGAGGCCACAGATAATCTGTTAATAAAAATTCTACTATAACAAAATGATCAATGCAGAATCTGACATAAGCACAGCATAAAACCAGTTTAATAGGCTGAAATCGTTATTTTTCAGCCACCCCGTGAATAGAAGAAAAGTTAAGAATGCAGAAATAAAAGCTCACATTTTTTCTTGGTCTGTGTAACCAGCATGCTAAACCTGTTGCATGTACCTCTTAGGAAAAACTGTGAAAGAGCTGGAATACATTTCTAAGAGGCTAATAAAAGTATTGTACCTCGTTTTTACTCTATGAAAATCTAATATATGAACGTTCAACATTTTTTCCAAGTCAGGTTTTCATCAGTAGAGAAAAATGGTGCATATCATAAGCTTTAATACTTAAGGTAATGGATAAAAAAGACTTTATACCAAAGAAATAGCCCCATATACTACTAGTTGAAAAACACATTTAACATAAAGGAGCAAGTTCTTACTAACAGTAGTGGCTTCGTTTCAAGAACATAGGGTTTTTAGCTGATATATTCTAAGCATTTAAGATTTTATGTTAAAAATATTGCAACTATCCGTTACACTTCTCCTATGTTAAATTAAAATATTTAACAAAATTATACGCATATACTTATATGATAGTTCCTAAGTTAAAATACTTTTATGAAGTAGGGGTTAAGAATCTACACCTACAATATGCAGATCTTTCATATTTCCAATATCTCAAATGAAAATTGTAGGTCTCTCTTCAATTATCATAAAGCAGGAATGGTTTCAGGACAACGGACAGAGAACTGTACTCTAAGGGAGGGTGTAAAGTTAAAGGGTTTGTTTACAATAATAAAGGCAAGGCAGGCACAGTGATTATACCCTCTTACTGCTCTAATTAGAAAACAACTAATTTATTAGATGAAGGAAAATGGAGAGCTAGAGAGGGAAATTAATACGTTAATATTACAGAATAGCTCTTAATTGCCTGTGCAAGTTGTCACTGATTTGCTTTGTCTTAAAATGTATTGGAAACTAATCTTAAGGTAACACAAATTCACGTTTTTCCACCAACTAAGATACTTTTGCATATAAAAGAACAATAGTTTAAAAAATAGCATATACTGATTCAGAAATACACGTACAGCACCTGGTCTGCTGCGACCAAACCATCTGTTTAATGCCACAACATATTTTAGGGTCCTTCATTGACTCTGAAAGGTGTATTCATTCTATACTTTCTACCTAAACTGCTCCTGTTCTCCTCTGGGGGTGGGGTGGGAAGGAAGGACAAATCACCTCCGGGGGAATTAAAGGTATTATTATAGAAATATTTCAGACATCATTCACAGAGAAATAGATGCCTAAATGACTGAGGAGGTTTAAACAGAGACAGGTGAACACCCAGTTCTATCCATTTCCCAACACGTCCGTTTTCTATTAACGGAAGACTTCCAGATTAGTAAAACACTGGAGGGCGTCTCTCCACGCCATCCTAGAGGGAAAAGGTTCCAAAAGGCCAAAAATCACAACCTAAAATCACAGTTCCAAGAATGCAACCCCTTGACTATCCCACCAGAAACTCTACAATGCATCATTTTTATTCTGCCCATCAAAAGGCTTATGATCTCTTTATCGTCACCCCATTAGGGAGAATAAAATGAACAGAAGCGACATATATGTACTGCCGTGCTGGCACATACGGGCTGACACATATGTGCACGGGAAGCTGTACATATATGCCCGGACATATACATCATGCTGTGCGTGCCTGTGCATGGAAGGCGGCTCCGCAGCGGCCGGGGGAACGCTTCCCTTGGGCAGCCCCTGCGCCCTTGACATGACAGCGGCGATCTGTCTCTTCTCCTCTTCGCTCAGCTGGCTCAGATCCGCCTCCATGCCGGCCGGGATCACGGTGTGCAAGGAGCTCCCCGCCCCGCCAGCCCCTCCTCCGGCTGCTGCCGCCGCCGCCGCCGCCGCCAGCCCTTCCGGGAGCCCTTCCCCTTCCAAGCTGGCCTCGTTGCCCATGGCTCAGGGGAAGTCGGGGCCGCCACGCTCCCTCCTTGCGCTGCGTCCCCGTCGGGAACCCCGCGGCCCGAGGAGCAACCGGAGCCGGGGTCCGCCGTGGGGCGTGCAGGCGGCGGAGTCCCAGGGCTCGGGACCCGGCACCGCTGCCCGGAACGCCAGGCGGGTGTTAGTCCCGCTCACAGGTGACGCCCGCAGCCGGTGCCTCCTCCATGTTGGACAACTCCCCGAAGCCGCCTCAGCGCCCCGAGCCGGGGAGAAGCACGTCTGAGCTGTGCCAGCCGGGCGCCGTCCGCCCCTCCCACCGCGCCCCGCCTCCTCGCCCGCGCCCTCGCAGTGCGCATGCCCGTCTCGAAACAGGTGATGGCCGCGCCCGCTTCCACCCCGCGCTGCGTCGCTCTGTATCCTTCCTCACTCTCAGCACCGATTTAAAGGAGCCTGGGGAGAGCGCAGCTGAAAACCGGGACAAAACAGCTGGAGTTTCTTTCAGGCATATTTCAGGATGCCTCAACCTGAGTTTTAGCGAACTATATTCAAGGGGCGGGGAGGGGCTGGAGGGGAAATAGCTGTTCCCTTGTTTGGATTCATGGGATCTGTAGTTTCAATTGTTTTTTTCTTTTTTTTAAGGAAGGCTTTTTAAAGATTTTAGTAATGGATTCAGGTAACTGGAGATTAACCTATGATACCTTTGGGACAAATTCTCCCAAAGGAGCTAAAACTGGAGCTTTTTATTTAGGAGTTTTCCAGAATAATTACATTAAAATCTTAGATACAGCATCAGTAAGGTGGTAAAGTTTTTGAATGCTTGTCACTGTATTGTTCCCTAAAGGGACGACACAAAAGTAGAGGATTATGGAAAATTGTACATGGGATACTGTAGTAAGATTCAAATTGTAGAATATTAAAATGTTAAAGTGGTGTGAAATTTTGAAAATATGAATTCAGTACCTTTTTTTCAGTTCTTCGCTCCACAAATGTGGAGAGAACCCCGAAAGTTAAATTAATTTATATAGAGGCACATAGCTGGTTAGCAGCAGAAGTATCACTAATAACCGTTCTTTCAGACCCACTTACCATCCATTCCCAAACACACACAAACTCTTCTTGCTACTACATTTCCTAGAAGGGAATGTTTTAGTTCAGCACTGGATATGCAGCCCAAGTTTTACTCTCCACCTTGGCTAACTAAATGGACCTAATGTCCCAATTGTTGAGGTTAAAGAAAATCAAAAGCTAACTATTGGGAATGAATAAATACACAGAAATGAATAAGTTGCTCAGAAAGTTTCCAAGGTTTTACAATAATCGTTATAATAGTTTGATATTTTGCATTCCACTTGTACCAAAACTAAAAAATGGCACAGTTATAACAATGTGGTATGTGCTGCTTTTAAAGATGTCTAGTCATTAGATGAAGTATCATTACCTGTTGGGTTCCTACAAAAACTTTGCATAAACTTTGATTCTCTCATAACATACTGAGATATGATTTCCAAATTCAAAACTGTGAAGAGTCATACATTATTTTTAAATAAACAGCATGCTTTCACCTCACACAAACCAATGACAGGAGGCAACCTGACATTCTGATGGCCACACCTGGAGACAAAAACACAATCATCATACCTCCTGGAAATAAGTTTGCTTCAAAAAAGGAGATAATTGGTACATAATCCTGAATCTCTGGCAAAATGAGTAATTGCTCCAACGCCTACAGAGCCCTAAGGCTCACTAAGGCTAGATGGAGGTGGGGAAGAAGAAGATTCATGTGCTGATTATTTTCTCATAGTATGCTCAAGTGTTGTGAGAATAAAATACATTCGATAAGTTTACATTCACAAGCCACAAGCTTAAAGAAATGATAAGATGAACACTCTTTCAAAGTCTAGCCTCAGAATAATGATTAAACTAGAAAACAGATTGTTAACTCTATATTCTCTCCCATTATGGGTGGAAAGGAGCCTCTAAAGTAATAAGAAATAAGAAGTGATAATCAATTATGCCAAGTAATGCGCATAGACTAAACAAAAAGCAATAATTTGTAAGATGGGACTATTATAGCCCATTGTGAAAACACGTGCATTCACCTTCTCCTTTCCTCCTGTCCCAGGAGCAAATGTCATCAGAAAACAGGAAAATGGGATGTATGAAAGAAAGAGTAAATGGACTGTGAAAACAAGTGGGAAACATTTTGGTTGTTGAGGTTTTAAAATGATTTTGCCTTTAAAACCTTTATACCTGTGAGTTTCAAAAAATATTTTTTTTTCAGTCTTCCATTTGGGCTTAACAGTTGCTTATGCCTGGGAGGTGTTTCTGATACAAAGAAAAACACTAGAGCAAAAGCCAGGTGTATTACTCGAGTTTGAATTCTCAGAATTCTGAGGGTACAAGGATGAGAAGTTAAATGTTATAGACAAAATTTATCTATACATTCTCTCCTTGCTTACCTAGAGAAATATCACAATTAGTTTCATTCTGCAAATTCACTAATGGTGCTGTATTCAAAATCCTTGTTGCCCCCTATTCATTATACCTACTGTAATGATCATTTATTTGAATTTAGATTTAATTTAACAAGCTAATAGTTCAGCTCCAATTCACTCAGCCTGATAGGTAGGTCATGAAATTAATTAATTTATGAAAACTTGCACTGTTATATACCATGATGTCTTTCTGAAATGACTTCTCAACTCTGGAAAACCAGATCTTTTCCTTTGTTTACTTTTTGTCTCACTTTCCCATGTAGTTTCTATTTTAGTAGATTAGAACCCATCTAAATGTGATAATTAACAATTAAATATGACAAGATAATGAGTCCTTGGAATGAAATTGCCCAGTCTACCCATGTCCTTGTAGATACCACTCAACCTAGGATAAAACCAAATAGACCACCCTGTGTGTCACATGTCCATACTTGAATAAATTCAGGCTTTGCAAAAATTAAAGTTAGAATACTCTTCATCCATATAGAAGAATATGTAGTCTCACTGGTTTTTAAAAACCTACAATTAAATAATCTTCATATAATTTAGACTTTTAATTAAAAACAACATATTTATTAAACTCTATTTAGTAAGCAGTTATCAGAATAGTGGCTTATTTATGAAATGCCCATTATATCCATATTAAAACGATTATAATAGTGTAAGTGAGTGTTTTGTAAAATAAGCCATTTCATAAGCTAAATTTGAGAGTATAAATAGATTCAAACTTTTTGGAAAATAATTTAGCAATACTTATCAAGAGCCTTAAAAAGAGTCATAATCTGTGATACACTTCTAGAAACCAGCCCTAAAGAGATTGTTTGAGTTATATAATGGTATTATGGAAAAAAATGTTCACTAGAGTATTATTTAAAATAGCAATAAATAAAAAGTCATTACTGCCTCAGTAAATGAGAATGGAGAAGTAAAATCTGGTACAACCAGATGACTGTATTTTGTATTTAAAATAATGTTTTTAAAGAGTCCATTACAACATAGGAAAAATTTCACATTGGACAAATTTTCATAAATTTATGTGATCACAATTGTGCAAGAAAATTAAATTACTTAAATGCATAGGAAAAAACCCGAGAAATAAATAAACCAACAAACAAAACCCATATATATTTAGTGAGAGGACCATAGGTAATCTTACTTTTTCCAATTTTCTATAGTTTCCAAATTTTCCAAAATGAACTTGTAGGATTTTGTTTTTTGGTGTAGGAGCACCAATAATTATGACTACTCATTTTTTAAAACGACAAAAATAATGCAACCTGTTAAGCTAGATAAGCAAAATGTTATCATCATTTTGTGACAAAATGCCTATGAAGCAAATGAAAAAAAAAATTTCTGTGGGATATACCCTAACAATGATTTCATGTGATTAGGTGAATGATAAAACAAACTATTCTTATACTTTCTATACTTAAAAGACAAAAAAAAGACCCTGCATTTTAGTGTATGTGTGCATGTATATATTCATGTTTGAGTAAATACAGACATAATTTTTATATAGGCACATTTTTTTAAATATTCCTTCTCTAATAGAAGATAAGAGAGGATTGCATTAATTTAGTGGAGCAAGAACCTGCAGTGGTTGAAGGTCTGACTTCATTTTTTGCTATGGTTGATCTGCTTCTCAATTGCAGCTCTAAGCCATTTTTGTTAGCTTTGCTTTAAAATGAGATTTGCAGCTATAGAGGAGGAAATTCAAGTGAGATTGCAGTTGATTATGAACTTCTCAATTTTGAGGGAAAAACACATGAGAAGTATTTTAGAAAAAAGTTTGATAAATTTATTTTTGAATTCTGACATCTGGACTATCAGGCAGTTGTTTTTTTTCTTTTCCCCTTTATACTTATTCTACAGCAAAGCTGTAATTTAAAATAAAAGAAGAAAGTTGCTTGTATTTAAAATATGTTCCTATACACATAGGGTATATAAAATCTTAAGAATAAAATTAGTTACCACGCCACTTTACATTATTACATTGTAAATTGAAAAATGACTAATAAGTCATGAGGTTATAATTTAGGTGATTCAGCATCACTTATTTACCTGTTTTATAAATAGGCTTTATTTTTTTTTTAAAGATTTTATTTATTTATTTGACAGAGAGAGCGCACAAGCAGGCAGAGCGGCAGGCAGAGGGAGAGGGAGAAGCAGGCTCCCCGCTGAGCAGGGAGCCCAATGCAGGGCTCGATCCCAGGACCCTGGGATCACCACCTGAGCCGAAGATAGATGCTTAACCAACTGAGCCACCCTGGCACCCCATAAATAGGCTTTAGAATTCAGAACCTACTCTTCGGAAATGGAGACATGTATGCATGTCTTACTCTTTATGATTTTTTGGTTGACAGTGTCTGACTTGAAATCCTAGCTTTGACATCTTACATCTATTTGGGTTAGTAAGTCACTGAATTTTTAGAACATGAGGTTCCTCATCTGTAAAAATGGAGAAAATTATATACTACCTCTTAGGGTCCTTGTGATAATTACATGAGAATAAGATGTGAA